CCCCCCCCCCCCCCCCCCCCGGGTGTCCGGATAAGAGTGAAAAACGTCTGCGCATGCTGACAGCCCATATGCAAAGTAGTTGAAAACGTCTTTGTACTATTGTAAAGGCGCGGACAGACGGTGCAACATTGCACGCAACGTTGTACGCAACAAATTTGAATCGGGGTGACACACGTCGCAACAAAATCACGCAATATCGCTAGTGTCACGCTGCTATGCTAAGAAATTTAGTCAGCGGTTATGAATTAGGTGTAAGCTGATTGGCTGGGAGTTTCAAAATGTTACATGCAATGCTGTAGCCATATTCACACAATGAATTTTTAGAGCGCGATTCAACTTCAGATTTGTTGCATGCAATGTTGCGTGCAACGAGTTTCAGGGGTAGACACGATGCAACAGTTATGTTGCGTGCAATGTTGCACCGTGTATCCCAATCTTAAAAATATGTAAATTTAGATTTCAAATTTTGTCTGACAAATGGACATCACGAAATTCCAAAACTAAAGACAGTTTTTCGAAACTTAAGGCCAGTGTCACAAAAGACTGATTCCATAAGGTTTTGYTCCTTGTGGGATTGCGGTCGTACGACAAAAGAGTGAAAAAAACCACTCATGGAACCAGTCTACACAAAAGTATACTTACGGAATTTTTAATATACTCTAAGAAAACGATTTTTTTCTAAAACTCTTAAAAAACTTAGAAAACATGCATGCCCAAACGTTTTTCTCTAGTGTGTAGTGGCTATTTAGATACACAATATTACGACATGTGTGCAAACAAACAGTACATTCATCTGACTTTTAGTTTTGAAGATATTTGAGTAAAGGGGGTGGGTCAATCACAAGCACATCTTATCACTGAACTACTCCTAGTACCTTCCTCCCTACCCACGCTTGGCAAAAAGCAAAGAAAGCATATCAATTTAAAAACATGAGATGACAACAGGGAACATCTTACTGCCTAAACATCTATTACCTTTTGGTTTTCCATTATCTTTTATTTCTTCTTTTATTTCTATCATTCCAGAATCAACCTGTATGATTTGAAAAAATAGGGTCTGTTGGAAATGTTTCTGAAATTAACATATAGACTCTGCACCAAACATCAAACATAGTCTTAAAATAATGATGTAAGCAAGAGGACATATGCTAAGTGATTTATTTATAGTTTTGAGATGATTCAAACATTTCAATGGGAAGCACGGGTGGCGTAGCGATGTGAGCACTCGCCTCTGATCAATGCGACCCCAGTTCAAGTCCTGCCGGGTTCGGTGTTGTATTATGAGTAGAGTTGTTGGTTGATTCTCTCCTGTGCTTCAAGGGCTTTTCTCCGGGTTCTTCGGTTTTCCTCCCTCCACAAAAATCAACTACTAAATTCCAATTCGATCATGGAATGAGGGCCACAGGTTTGTTAGCCACTGCCTATTAAGTGCTATCCTTTTTTTCAATGAAACATAAAGCAATCAGATGTTTCATGTTATCACACGTCTTAACCTTGATAGACCTTTATAGCTTTCCTTTATCGTTTTCCCATTTTTTGACCATGTGTCATTCTCTTGAGAATAAGATTCTTTGTTTGAGTTGTATCCATATTCATGTGTCTTCTTATGTACAACCGTTAAACAAAGAAATGATACTCTAGGGAATGATGTGTGGTCTGAAATGTGAATACATTTCACCCAAGCAAAATGGGTMTATTCATGATAGGAGAACAGTAATATTAAACCATAATCTTATGATCTTAATCATAAGAGAAAACGTAAACAGTTTGGTGACAGCCACAGGGTTCCCACCTGGRAAAAAAACTTGTTATTGCTAATCACTTGACTGCAAAGTGTCAGCAGTGGTGCAGCTCAATGGGGATCAAATTGAAAGCATGCAAATAAGGCACCTCTGGAAGCTGCTATACAGTCCATGTATGACCCAGAAGCACAGCTGTAACCAGTTTGAATTAGTTGGGGCCAAAAGTAGTATAAAATGAAAGTRTTATCAGTAATGAATATAATGGAATATACCTAATTGAAAAAACGTTGTCGGGTTCGAAAAAAGGTTATATCATCAAAGCTAAGACCAAAGGGTCGCATGGGAAGACAAACAATTATGTTAATATCATGCGTATTTCAGTTTTCCCTTCCTGTGCACATTTTATGAATCATGGCTTCGGCATGTTGTTAATCTAGGTCGACCGACTTTGCTCTACTGTGCATTTTTACATGTCTATATGCAAATATRATACACATTTCGGAGTACCCAAAATCCTTTTCGGTCTTAGCTTTGATGATATGACCTTCTTGGACCGACTACGTTTTTTCAATTAGGTGTATACTGTAAATTATTGAACATACCTTATAGATGTTTTCAAATTCCTTAGTAAAATTCAGCTGAGAAGAAAATAATTCTAATTCTTTGTTTAGACTTTCTATATTTTCTTCCACATATTTCTGTCTTCGTTCAACTATTTCAAGTGCTTGGGAAGCAGACCTCTTGGCAAACCAATTGTCTCCAAGAAGAACAAGGATTTCATTTGTATGGACAAGTTTTCCTGGCATGAAGGCCAGAGATCCAAATGGAACCTTCAAAATAAGAAAACATACATCATTAATTCATTGTATTTTATCAGAAGAGACTAAAGAAACAATATAATTAATTTGTTAAATATCATGTTGGGGTGAAGAGAATCACCTCTCACAAATTTGACTGAGATTCGATTCCCAGGTTCAGTGTTGTATGTGAATAGGGTCGTTTGTTGGTTCTCTCCTGTGCTTTGAGGGGTTTTCTCTAGGTTCTTTGATTTTCCTCCCTCCTCAAAAATCAACTTCTAAATTCCAATAAGGTCTTTGGGCTTTCAGCTAGTTGGAGCCTAGCTCTGTTGTGATTGTTCCACACTGTGATGTGACAGTCAAAAAGCTTAATAGATTTTCTTAAAAAAAAAAAAAAA